TCTGTGCGTTTATTGCTTTGTAGAACGAGAGCGAGCGGAGGCCTCCCTCGCTCGCGACGACTTGCAGGCGGAGCTGGATACGAGTCGACAGTCGCTGCTGAAGGAGCAGGCTTCTTCTGCTGATCTCCGCAGCAAACAAGCGGAGCGTGAGGAACACCTTGGAGCGTTGCGCAACTTGATCAATCTGGTACCTGCGCCAACTCCGCAACCTGAGATGGAACGATGCGTGGCGTCGGCCTCTTCCAGTTCGTCTCTTGCCACACTGGCGTCAACGGCCACGAGCCTTGTCTCCTCTGATCCTCCAGCGCGAACATCTTCGCAGCAGCTCCCGTCTGGCTCGGCAAAGCGAAGTGGAGATCTCTCTTCTGATCCAACGTCACAGTCGAAGCGTGCAAAGCGTGCCGTTGCGACTACTGAGGGAGCGCCAGCTGAGTTGTCTTCCTCTACGGCGATGGGTACGTAGCTCCTCCTCATTGTCAGACAAGCGACTTTCATAGATCTCCGTCTGACAGCCCGTGGACCTCTGTATCAGCCCGAAGCCCATTCACGCACGCAATTCCATCTGAGTCCAGCGAAGCTGGGCGCCCTACCGATGTCACGCCGTGGCTGTGGGAGGTTGTTGCAGGTCACCGCCTTGACCAGCTTACAGCCAAAGACCTCGCTTCGAAGTTCTTACCACGCGACTGGCTGCTACCCGCCGGGGTGTGCAACCCTAAGAAGGGGGAGCTGGCCGTTCCTGCTGACTATCGACCCTGGCCACAAGCCTCGGTCGAAGCTTTATACAAAGCGAGTCCCTGGAAGATCTTCCTGGATAACATGCACGACCCAGTCTCGTTCGACATTGGAGATCCCCGCTTCAACCTCTTCTGGCCATCATCCGCGATGTGCTGACTCGGAACGATAATCGTGGCGCGCTTGTGTTCTGGGAGATCACCCACTCCATCGAGACTTCCATTTCCAAGGCCAGCGCTGAGTCTTGGGAGGTGAAGTTCACTTCGGATTGTAAGAATCGGAGATCCCACTTTGTGAAGATGCTGCTGCCTGTGTTCGAAGAGGTGGCCCGCCTGTGCAAGGCTCATGTGTGCGACTTGGACATTCTTCTGGAGCCATTCCTCCTGCCGCTGATCGCAACGTGCCTGTGGTTCCCTAAGGGAGCTTCTGGTGCCTCTGGAGATCTGTTACACGTCTTACGAACGACTGACGAGGCGGAGCCGTGGCGCCTGTTCTACTGCCAAACACCCATCGATGATCGAATCCATCCACACGCGCCTTCGAGGCAAGTTCAAGGCGACCTCGTCAATCGCCTAGCCTGAGTCAGCTGAACAGACCTAGGAGGACCCCCGGAAATCTCCAGCGTCCGACATTTCTTCCTTCACCAATGTACGTAGCTAGTGGGTAGTCTCCTCGAGCATGCATCTTCTTTATCGACATCGTAATACACCGGCTTCGACTCCATTTGATATCACTCCCACCCCAGAACTTAATTGTACACAGTCAATGTCATGACTGGGAGATCTCCCCAACTGGAGATGTGAAGGCATGTCGTAGGTCGCCGTGCATTCTGGGAAGTGATTTGTGGTGATCAAGGTCATAGCACAAACTCCAGGCGTAGGACTGCACTTAGTCCGACGGCCACCGACCACGCCTTCACGCCCTCGGTGCCTCCTGCACTGCGGCTCCGGGATGGATCTCCAAATCAGCGGCGACAGCGATCCGGCCAAAATCGACGGAACGCGAAGGTAGTCTCCGACACGAACGGTGCCGGTTTTCACCATTGCACAGGCCCAGCGCGTCGTGGCAAGCGCGTTTCAGCAGTCGTCGGACGCGCGTTCGCGCCTCCGGCGCCTCGACCACTGCGACACTGGGCTGGATCTCCAAGTCGCCCCCGAGTACTCGTTCGTCGTAATTCTAATGTCCGACCAGATCATCACAACTAACCTCGTTTCTCCATTCCATCGCGTGATCTTCTCTCCACACTCAATCAAATGTAAATGTGCAACAAATACCATCCACCATTACGGATAGCGTCCACCACGCTACCCCCCCAACACCGCCTCACTCTTCGGCGATGTCGGCCTCTCCACGCGATTGCATCACATGGAACCTCTGCCGGCTCCGTCGCTTCTGCTGGAAGTCGAACAGCAGATCACCACAGTTCAGGTGTCCTTCCTTGACCCAATTCGTCTCTGCGTGGCCCTCCCAACGCACCAAATATTCCTTGAGCCGTCGACCGTAGCGGGTGCGTCTCTCCGTCTTGACATCCAAGATCTCTTCAACTTCATACTCGTTGTCACCGCGAGTTTGTGCCTCCCAGCTATCGTCGGGGAGAAGTTCTTCGTCAAAGTCAAATCGTTCGCTTTCATCAACAGTGAGATCTTCGGCGGGTCGTTCGGGGAACTGACGGACCAGCTTCAGCTTCGAGATGTGTACGATAGGGAACAGTCGGTAGTCAGTCCCGCTGATTTCCAGCTTGGCAGCGTAGTCGCTCACCATGGTGGCGACTCTGAAAGGCCCATGCCACATGTGAGCGAGCTTCCGAGCGTATCCGACCTTGACTCGGTCGAGGTACAGCCACACCTGCGATCCCTCCTTAATGGGTGACTCCGGTACGTTCTCATTGTGGGCTTCCGCGCGACTCTCACGAGCTTCGGCGAGGAGACGACGAGTCTCTGTCTGAGCACGTTGGCATTGGCGTTGGATCTTGAACCTCCATTTCTGTGGGTCGAGATCTCGGCTTCCGGTCCCTCCAACAGCCAACGATGCCTCAATAGTCGTTTTAGGGTCCCACCCGTGCAGCAAAAAGAATGGCGTGTCCTTGCGTACTCGGTCGTGCGATGTGTTCAACGCAAACACCAACCGCTCCGCATATTCATCCCAGTCCTGTTGGTTCTCGTCTTCAACGTACATCCGCAGAGATCTGGAAATAGTCTGGACCATCCGCTCCGCTGTGCCGTTTGCTTGAGGTCTATACGCGAGCGTAGATCGCTGACGCTGGCCCAGCAGCGCATTAAACGACCGGAAAAAGTCGGACATGAAGCTCGGTTCCTGGTCGTGCCTGATTACTTCGCTGGCTCCGTACCGCCGAAACACGCATTCCTCGTGTGCCTCAGCCACTGTTGGTGCGGTCCTGTCCGCGTTTGCCTTTGCCACAACGAAGCCGGTGAAGAGATCCACGAAGACTAGGAGCTCTGTGTTGCCCTTGAACGACTTCGGGAGGGTGGGGATATGATCCATAGCCACGACCTGGAAAGGGTAAATAGCGGCGATATTGCCCGGCGATCGCCCCCGCAAGGTGAGTTTTCCTTTTCCCGTCTCGCAGTCGACGCACTCCCCGACATACTTCTGCACACTTCGGAACATACCTCGCCAGTAGAAATGCCTCCGAAGCTTTTGGAATGTTCGGCTGACTCCCTGATGACCTCCCTCCACACTTGTGTGGACATGATGCAGGAGATCTTCGTGGAGTGTACTCGGCATTACCAGTTTCACCATAGATCCACGTTCCTCGACATCACCACAGCGCCCCTCGACTGGACAGTACATCAAGAGGCCATGCTCGTCGACCTCGTAACTGTCAGCCAGGTTACTGCACGTCTTGGCTTGACGGCTCGAGATCTGAGAGAGATCACCATGCAGGAAACACTTCAGTGACCAGATCCACACCTCCTCGTCTTGAGCACGGCAAATACGTTCCAAGCGCAGCTTCTTGACGACGTCTTCCTGCAACACGGCTGGTGCGACAGTACGAGATCGGCTTCGCGTACCTTCGGATGGGCGTCACGTTCTTCGCGCGTCTTGAGGAGCTCGTCCAGTCGATTCAAGGTCTCGAGGTCCGTGTAATCGGTGTGACTCTCGACAACTACCCCGGCACCACGCTGCAGCGCCTGTCCCGCCAGCATATCCGCGGGTTGGTTCCAATCGCGTTTTACGTGGATGGGTTCGCATTGCGGCCAAGACCGCAAAATCACTCTGGCCTTCTCACGCAAGAGCTGGAGTCCCGATGCCTTGCACTCCATCTCTCCACGTAGTTGGCGGATGACTAAATTGGAGTCACCACACACAATGAGACGGTCGATCTGGAGATCGGCAATCAAACGAAGTCCGAGAAGGAGGCCATGGTACTCAGCCTCGTTCACACTGAGGTCCGGTAAATAGCCAGATTCAGCCTTGACAACCTTCCATCCAGGAGCATCCCATACCACAGCGCTGAACGCTCCACCAACTCGTTTCGGCTTGGCCGATGCGTCACAGCTGGCGACGCAAACGTTTTCTCCGGGCGTGAAAGTCGGCATCGGGATAGCCAATGCTCTCGTCGACTTCTTCTGCGGAGAGATCTCCTCCAACGCTGCATCCATCTCTGCGCGCGGAGTGATACTGGCGGCAACCAAACCTAGTTGCTCATCTTCGCCTTTCGTTAAACGTTCGATCTCTAGCGAATGGGGGGAGAGCAGCGCCGCGCACTGAGCTAGCCGTCCCTTCAAGCCTTTCGCGCGGAAGAGCCATGCGAGAGTCGTGTGTCTGGTGAGCACTCGGATGTGTCGACCACTCAGCATGGTGAAGCAGCTATCGAGGATTCTTAGCAGAGCCAGTACTTCCTTCTCCACAATGTCGTACCCGATCTCGTGAGACCGCAGTGTCCTACTCGTAAATTTGACGGGTACGTACACTCCATCACGACACTGAACGAGAGAGGCAGAGATCGCCCACTTGCTTGCGTACACAATCACAACAGGGTCCAACTCTGGGGCAAAATGGTAGAGCATGGGTGCGTTGATCATCTTGAACTTCAGGGTATCGAAGGCTCGTAGCGGATGGCCCCATCTCACAGTCGCCTCGTGATTTCCGCTGACGTTTGTGGCTCGACCCTTGATGAAATCGGAATCTCCGAACCATACAACACTGTGGCATATACTGCGAAATCTTCGGTGAAGCGATTGTAGTAGTTGAGACTACCGAGGAATGACTGGAGAGCGTTAAGCGTTTTGGGAAACTTCAACGCCTCCAGACTTGCCAAATATTTCGGCTTGGCGAACAGGCCTTCACCGGAGATCTGATGCCCCAGATAGTCGACTTTGCTCATACCCCAACTGCTCTTCTCCGCGCTAATAGACAGATTCCAGCGGTCACAAAGCTCTAGGAGATTCTTGACCTTCTCACACAGTTCGTTCCACGAGCTTGCTCCAACTAAGATGTCGTCGATGTAAGAGCGACGCCCCAGCACCGACGGCAGCGATCGATCTTCAGGAACACCTTCCTCGAAAATGTTGACGAGATCCGCGCGATCTTGACCCGGCGAGATCCGCAGCACGCCATGTAACGCATTGTCGATCAGCCGCAGATAGATTTGGGGGGCATTCTTCAGACCAAACGGCATTCGCAGCCACTCGAACAGGCCGAACGGCGTAATGAACGCGGAGATCTCTCGGGCTCGATCGGTCATACTCACCACCCAGAACCCACTCGCCATGTCGAGAGAACAGAACCACAGCAAACTGTCGAGATCTTCGAGGAGGTCGTCAATCAACGGCATGGGGTAGATCATCAGTCGTGTCAGAGCATTGACCAGACGGTAGTCGATACAGAGTCGGACGTCCACGCCGTTCTTCTTGACGACGATAACGGTCGGAGACGCCCAAGGAGAAGTGGAGATCCGAATCAGCTTCGCCCCCAGTAGCCCCTTGACGAGTTGGAACACCTTTTCACGAAACTGAGGCGGGATCCGGCGACAACGCTGAGCCACCGGTCGTGCACCACCAACGTCGATGTCACAGATCGCCCCCGTCGCCGCAGGGGGTAAAGCATTCCCTTTGCCGATGAGAAGGTGACGCCGCTCCCAAATGATATCACGCAGACGATCAATCTCCTCTGCTGTGTTCTCAGTTGGATCCCCGAGCGGTTCGAGTCCGTTATTATTCAATCAATAATAAAAAATAATATGTCAACAATTAATCAATTATTTTTAAAAAAACAAAAACGTTTAGAAAAAAGAAAAAGAAATAAAAGTCCAGCTTTAAAACAATGTCCTCAACGTAAAGGAATTTGTTTAAAAGTTTCTTCCCTTTTAACTTCTGCCGTCAGGGAGATCTCTGGTAACACCGCCATCTCCTTTTCGATGTCTTCCGCAGTGAGATCGACCCCTTCATGAACATACTTCGCTTCATCCATGTCGGTTGCATCTCCGCCTTGGCTTGGTTCGACCTGGGTCACTGGGAGCATTCCGCTCACCGGCTCCTCTTCTTTCTCGTCGTCGGTCTGCCAGTCAAAACTACCCCAGCTACCAGTAGACTCAGCGCTTTCGGACGCACAGCTACAGCTGTCGCTCCAGTCACTTTCAACGATGACCGACAACGTGCGGTGAACCATTTCCTCGGTGGCCGCGGCGTGTATTTTGGATTGTGGCATGAGGTCAGGGGTATATTCTGGGAACTCCTTGCGGAGCTCGACCTCAGCCACATTTGCCGGAGTCGACGCCAAGCCTACCGGTGTTTCGCCACTGTTCGTAAAGGATAGGCCGCTCTCCTCGCCTGCGTGAGTTTCCGTACGCGGTAGACTGGAGTCATCGCTGTCCGTACCAGAGATCACCTGACCGGGATCGGTAGAGATCACGTCCTCCTCGGTTTCGGTCACCCTAGTCGGATCAGTCGAACTTTTCATCAGCTGCATTTGAGGATGTGTGTCGTCCAGTGTGAGTCGCGTGCATTCTTCTGACGTTGCTGCTGCTTCAACGGTCTTCACTTGTGGAGGCCGTGCTAAAATCGCAGCCGGAATCCGGTAGCTAGGACGGTCCAGACTCTTCAACTTCCGCTTCGTTTGCATCTCCAGTGTCCACAGCTGCTTCGAACGCAAGTGTTTGCCACTCCCGATAGCGGTTTGAATCCTTCCTAGCGAATCCAGGTCGACGCGGGATCTGCCCAACGGGTAACCAGATTGCCAAACACACCAAACGATCCAGTACCAGGCGGCTCGTGCTGATGTTGGTGATCCGGAGGTATGACTTGTTACTGAATCTACCATTCACCACCGTGATCACCCATTTTCCCCCTCTCGTTACCCACAGTTCAAACCGCCTGTTGTGGGACTTGAGTGAGATCTCTGTCCATTGGCCAGGACCGACTTCATGGAATCCCGTTGCGTAGACTGCGTCAGCCTTGCTGCTATACAGTGGCTTACGGTCAGTCATCTGGATGCGAACTTCGTCCGGCAGACAGAGCGTTCCGTCAGCCAGGTCCAACTTCACCCCCGCAGGAACCATAAAATCCATGCCGAGAATGACGTCTTGTCCTGAGAGATCTCCAACCCACACACGAAACTTGTACACCAACTCTCCAGCCAGAGTGAGCTTGACTTCTGCTCGGCCTTCTGTGCGGTACACAGCATCCCCCACACCAACACAATCCATTGTCTGTGTTGTATCAATTTCACAACCCACCTTACGTGCAAAGGTAGAGTCGATTATCGACACTTCGGCTCCAGTATCAAAGAGTAGGACGGCACGGACATTGTTGACCGCACCGGTCGCCTTCGACTGCTTGAACCACTTGGAGGGAGTGTAATACTTCCAGTAACCTCGGCGTTCACCCGGCGACAGTCGAAGGACCATCACACAAGGGCGACGCGAGTAGTCATCTTCATCCGAGGTAAGAGATCTGACTGTATTCACCGCATTACAGGAAGTTGGGTCTTCTAACGCTCGCGCCTTCCTCTGAACATATGCATAAATGCAGAACTTCGATCGCTCGTCACGTAACAGGCTGTTCAGGCCTGGCGAGCGGTCTAGTTTAACGCCTTCTCGACGCTCTCGGGCAGCAGTCCGGCATGGCGAGTCGGGTTGTACCATTGGCGAACAGCATCGAAGAAGTCGCCGATTTTACACTGACCTGCTTCGTGAACGTCTCCACAGCACTTGCAGACGTAGAAGCACTTGTCGGTAGGATGGCCCATGCGTCCACACTTCTGGCACGTGAGCCTCTTCCAGCACCCGAGATCCGTATGCTTGCGAGATCCGCAGTGTGAGCATCGAGTGCCGTACTTCGGACGCCCCAGTTGGTCTTCGCGGTCCTGGCGCGCTCACCATCTCCTGGTGTAGGCGTCCTAGCTGCCGAAAACACGTGTGCTCTTTCGTCTGCAGATTCGCTATCGGAACTGCTTAATTCGCCCTCGAACTCGTTGAGATCTCCGTGATCTCCGCGGCGTCCGCGACCGGTAGTCACAACCCGCGCCGCCCTCGAGGAGGCTACAGGGGCGGGAGCCTTTTGGCGGTATTTCGAACCTTGCGTCTCAATCTTGCGACGTTGGTGGCGGCGTCGCATGGCCAACAGGACGCCTTCGAGAGCTTCTGAGTCAGGCAGCCTCAACACTACCAGAGATCCGGCGAGATCGTGTATCGATGTAGTGGTCGACGTGTTCACGTCGTTGTTCCTTGGTGCCATCATGGATCTTCAAGTTTGCACGTATCCCGGCCAGATTCAGCCGGTATAAGCAATCCAGTGGGTCTTCCTGACTCCCGCGCCGCATGTGGTAGTACTTGCGCGCGAGGGAGATCCCTTTACCGCAAAAGTGGATCTGGAACTGTTCACCCAGGTCAGTCCACGACGCGCGAGCGGTGCGGCTCAGCTGGTAATACCAATTGCGTGCAGGGCCTATCATCAAATCGGCAAATGTCAAGCACATCTCGTCTGGCTGCATCTGATCCCGTCGGAAGGCCGTTCTAACCTTGTTGAACCAGGCTCGGGCGGCTTCTTCGTCATGTTCCTTGCCGCTGAAGTCCTTTAGTTTGGACACAGCCGATGCTCGCAACCTAGTCGCCGTGGACACAGCTGCGACACGACCTCCGGTTCCGCCACCTCCATAGGTCATCGGATAGGTCATGGAGATCTCCTTGGTATTCCGGTTGTGTCTGGGATCGGTACCCGATACGTGGCCGAGCGGGAGACGCAGCGACTGGTTGCATCTCAACGTCTTCAGGCTCGTCTCGCTCGTTCGCAAACTGGTAAAGAAGGTCTTCAGCCACACCGCCGGGGCGATCGGGCTCTGTTGCAACCTCTTGAGCCTCCTGGATCCTCCCACGTGGACCTCTCGCTGGGCGAGTCTGCGCAATATTTGACACTTGCGCAGACTTCCCGCGTCCTACATCGTTTGCAGCGATCGCTGGGATCCCTTGCGCACGTCGTTCTCGGCGGGACACACGTGGGGCCGGTGGAGGCTTCTTGGTTGAGGTAGTGCTCCCCATGAGAGCGTCACCGTCATCTTCAAACTTGAAGGAGATCCGCGAATCGTCCAACCGAGGAGGTGTGAGGTCTCCGGTCGGCAACGGCGCGGATGAGTCATCTCCACTCGGGACGAGCTTCTGCAACACTGCGTACACCCGCGCGAGCGTAAGGACGGTGGTTTCCAGATCGTACTCGCGTACATCGGTGGAGATCCGCTGTTCATGTACCTTGAAACCAGCATCTTCGACCACGCAGAACAGCATCGTGACGGCGTGAAGCGGATCTCGGATTGTTAGCGTGTGCGGGTTGCAAACTGGACCCGTGAGAGGCCATGGCACCGTCAGCCCCAACTTACGCAGGAGCGGATCTCTCTGGAGCAGGAACGCAAGCTCTTGACGGAAGTAGTTGACTTCGGCTTCACGAAATCGTTTGTCTTCATCGTGAGTGTCGTTGCTGGGGCCATGGACCGCTAGCGCCGAGATCTCCAATTTCTCCGTTTTCTTCTCGGCTTTCTTCTTCGCATCTTCGACTTCCATGTAGTCCATCGCAGCGTCTAGAGCATCGCTTCGGGCAGCGAGGTCGCGGATGACCCCCTTCAGATGCTCGCGCTCCAGGTTTCGACCTCGCTTTTCAGCGACGCCGGGGTCCCGCTTAGCAGCAGGTCCAATGGAACTCGGTTTTTGGACCGAGTCCCGGACGGCTCCTTTCGGAGCCTTAACGGGGAACTTCTCTTCGTAAACGAAATCCTTCGGCTCAGGCGTCCCCATTGCCTGTCCGTCGGTGGACCTAGTGTTTTCACGTTTAACTTCCGCCGGTCCCAGCGGAGTTCCGTCTTCCCTCACCTCACCCTTCACCTTCACGTCCCCTTTCGGACTAGTAGATCCGGGCACGCGCACCATTGTGGTGGAGTCCCTCAGATAAAAACTAATAAACCCCCACACGTGTCCTGCCACGCAACTACGGGGGGGGGGGGGGGGGTTACCCCTGCAAGCCAAATTCCCAAAGACAACGAGAACTAGTCCCGAGATCTCTAGGCCTCACCTTGTGTACCCTTGTAGCAAGACTCGGATCTTTATCTAGCGTAATTCCTAGAAGACGTGTAATATGAAGGGGCGAATATGGGGTTCCTTACACTCGCAGGCAGAGACTTAGGTTAACTCTGTCGCGGATGCACTTGTACAGCGAGGTAACTCTTCCCACTGTACGACAACTTGTTGTACAATATGTACGAGATCTATTGGAGATCTCCTGCCGCAGCTAGTCTGCGGGTCCAAACCAAAGTGCGAGACGCACACCAATACCTTACTAAACCTCCTACTGTCGAACACTGAGAGCTGATCTCCTGAGTCCAGACAATGCAACACACTACGCTACTAGAAGGTTACCGGGGAGGCCAAATCAATCCAGAACCCCGAGTACACTTCGCAAGTAGGTAGGAAACAGTCACAGTACACACGTAGGCACTAACCGCACAACACAAAGACTAATATGAAGAAGTACCTTGTCTCGTTGTTGGAAATTCTGAACTAAACTGCCTATCTACCGGCGGCTCGTCTGCCGGCCAACCAACCAACCAGTATGCTGCACGCCTTTACCTCATGACGTCATCTGCTGTCTCCGTGCGGTGTCATCGTCCTTGTTACCGGCCTCCCCGTTCTGGATCTCCGTAAATACGCCATCGGGTTTCGTAATCAGTCGCTGGCCTTCTATACGGGACGCCGAGCTAGGGTGTCCCATAATTCAAGTGGCTCACTCTCGGGTCACCTTTGGGTAACCTCCGGGTCCATCGCCTCACAATCCTTCAACCCGCATTACGACACTATATACTAACTTACCTGTATAGCGGATACGCTATACAGGTATATAGTCCTATATAGTGTACATTTGTATATAGTCTTACACCCCGGTCGTGTAGGGTTATATAGGAGTATATCCTTTTAATACGTATAGTCTATATAGTATATCCGTTTAATACGTATAGTCTATATATATTAGGGGTTATATAACCCTGATATTTACTTATATACATAACTATATTCTTGCATAGTGACCCTTACAGTACATTTGAACTAGGGTACCAGTGTGCTGTCGCTTTTTAAACATTATCTTGTGCACTACCCACATCATGAAACTAATCGAAAAATCCCTAAGGTTTTTCATCGTCGTCTCCATGGTTCGCAGTGCTGACACATCATTGGACGTGCTGCTCGGGTAGCCGCAGATTCCAGGGGACTTCGATAAGAAAATCGTCAATACGTATCTTTCTGCGATGAAGACTCTGCAGGACGAAGATCTGTCCGACGACGCGCTCGAGATCGACGAAGCGGACGACGACATCGCAGCTGTACTGAAAGAGTGCCTGGAGTATCGGATCATGGAACCGATATTTCGTAAGCGTCGACTTTCATGCTGTAGCGCCAAAGGACTGGACAACCGGCGACGACAGTGGTGACAGCGACTACAGTAGGTGGCGACGAGTGACGTTGACATAAATGCGGTTGGAGACAGAGCGGCGTCAACAAGAAATCGAGCTGCGGCAACGCGAGATCAAGATTAAAGTAGACACGCTGCAGTCGCGGCGGTCTTTGAAGCGCCGTCGGACTCTCAAGGTAGATATCGCCTTTCGTGCCAGACGCTATCTTCGTCCCATGGAACAGGACGCTTGCTCTTAGCGGTCTCGTGGGTGACCGACGCCGCTCGCTTGCTCGCACGCTTTTTCGGATTCGGAAATTTGGGAATTATTAATCCTTCGTAGACGATTTGTTTAGGACGAGAGTAGTCTTGTACTACGGTGATTTAGCCCTTGTTGTATTGATTTGCTTAGAAGTAACAAATTCACCCCGCCCCCCTCCAATTGCAAAAAATCATGGATGGTCATAGAGATCTGCTCCACTGTTTACCCTCTACTTCTCCTAAAGTTGTTTGGCCAGTTAATCTACGGGAGAAGTACTTGTGCGAAAACAGCCCAGTGCAAACGACTTCTGGACATGATGATGAACGGATGCCAAATCGGAAAGCTCTTATTGCACTTTGTAAGCCACCATGTAACTGTTCTGTGGTAATTTCACTAAAAAAACTCTCTTCTACCGAAAGGTATTGATGACAACAACACGCTTCTCCGCAAAGGAAAGTGATGAGGTGTTTAGATGAATCCACACACCACGATTTGCCGGTCTGAAGGTTCGAAACATATGGCAAAACTCGCCGTGCGAGGCTGCGAATCCCCACCAAGCTGACTACTTTTAACGGTATGTCGATTATTACATATACGGTCTCGTAAATCAACCTTGAGGTTTGCTAATTTGTAGTGGCAGAGGAATAAAAGTCTTTATTCGCCAATGTACAGCGAAGACTAGCTCACTAGCTAGAGCCATTACTCCGACTACTGGCGCCATCCCTGATGCGGACAGTGCGATAGTGAAACTACATCCGCGGACTGACGAGAGGCGTCCCTCGACATCACAAATCGGCGTACTGCCTTAGGCACTGGCGTCACGGGCTTCATTATGGAGCCGACTTAGAAGCGGCTATCATTCGTGCTGACTTGGCTGCTGTGCTGAAGTCCAGAGACCACTCAAGGCCCCGTTCAACTCCAACGCTCTCTCGCAAACTAAATGCAAGAAGCGTTTTAGCTTTACAAAGAACGAGCTTATCGTTTAGGTTTCGCTATTTGAGCTGGGTGGAAGGCATGGGACGAATGCAACATGGGTTGAAGGGTTTATGTATCTTACTCGCAGTCCCGATCAGGTGGGAGGTTATACAAGAGGTTTATGGAGGAAGAGCAGTGAGCGTGTTTTCTAACATATTCTTGTTCATGAGTACCTCGACGCCAATTATGGCAGATTGTTCAGTTCAACCACGACTACGTAGCTGAACATTTACAGCAGTATGCTAATGCAATATTTAGCGAAGGCGCTCATATGTACAATGTGTGGAGTTTTATAAATGGTATCTTACGTGGAATATACAGACCAACAGCTCGTGATGACATGAGGGATGGGTTTAAATTACAAAGCCAGCAGTCATTATACAGTGGAAATCAAAGGACAAATGTGCTAAATAAAGTCTAACTCCCCTAACAGCATTATCGCACATTTCTAAGGGTCATTATAAATACAATCCAAGTGAAGCTTCGCAAGCGGGTCTCTTCAAACAGGTTTAAATGGAGCACGTGAGATATCTCTTTGTCGAATTTCTCTTTCTGTGTCGCTGCGTATGCTTCTTCCAGGCGCACGAACTGCTGAACTAGCCCAGGTAACTTATACAGTATAGTGGCCCTGTTTATTGACCACTTCTAGAAACTCCTCGATGCCACTCCCAACAGCTAAACGCAGCTCAAATGCTTGCCACTTTTTCTGTAGCAATGGCAGTCGTTCTTGAACTGGCTTCGCGTTCAGCTAAGTGCCTGCAGCAACATTCTCCCACGGCTGTCCTACAGGCCGTACTGGGTGCTAAACGGCTTAGCGACACTGACCTCTCGTATAAGCTCTTTATCGCTATTCTGATTGATACTGCCGCTGATAATTTTCGAGTGGCCCAATGCGAAAATAGAGTGACAAAGTCGCGGTCCATCTAAAATAGCTGTGCAACTCACAAAATTCACCATCTGGGTGAAACCACCAGGATAAGTATGTGAGTTCCTCTAAAGAACTCTTGTTATTGGATCAAATCCTAGACCTGACATGTTCCGTTAGGCCCTAGTCTAACAAAACAAAATCTGCTGAGAATGACGCTAGGGATCGGAATAGATCTCAACAGCATTCTCGTGAAAAGGAAGAGCACTTGAG